AATTAAAGAAAATTACTTTAATTGCTGTATATCAGTGATAATTACTGCATTGTTACTTAATAATCTGAGCTAAAGAAAACATATGTATTGTCGAAACGTATTAGAATCTTTTTAATGTCAATATTTTAATGTCAATACATATAATTTTTTATGATCTACAATTTTTATGATCCAAGAATAATATTATAATAAATTAACATTTAATTTTTTTTAAATTTTGACTGCTTGTTTCCTTGACCTTATTTAAAACTTTCATATTTGTTGTACATGAGCTTGATTATTAACTTATTATAATTAAAGAAAATTATTTTTACATATAAAAATTGTATTATCATCACTTATTTTTTATAACATTTTTCAAAATACAGGAAATGCTTCGCGTCTCAAACATTTTCTAGAAATGTTTCAGCCCATCAATATCGCATGTCAAAGGTGGGTATTCGCTCACCATTTTCAACCGAAATCCTTCTGACTCGCATATGTTCTCGAAATCGGTCCAATTGAATTTCTGCCGTTTTCTCTCGGGCACCCAGTAACCGATGACACACTTGTCGTACATTCTTCCTTCCTCGCTCGTGCTGGCCATGCCGCGCTGACACCGATCACCGATCACGTGCGGATCGGCGTTCGATCGACAGCACTCGTCCCTCGTGTTTGTACGTCCCTGGAATGAGACGGTCGGCAGCTTTCATCCTCACGGCACCGTTCCAACGATTCTCCGCGAGGTCTGGCTCATACTTGGGCAGCGTGGCGGTAAAACGAGGTTAGGTTCTATCGCCGTTGAGACTCGTCGTATTTCGATGATTATCCCTTGATAGCCGCCGTCGAGAAAACACTTCTTCGCCAAAGAATCGAAATCTCCTTTTGATTGCTCGATCGTCTTCTCTGCTCGTCGCACGTCGCTCGTCGTCGGCGTCGCCAATCCTATTGTTTACTTTTCGCACACTGCACAGCACACGCTGCACATGCCGCCGGAAGTGTACCTCTTATCGGACGTGCGTGATCGCCAAATAAACACGCGCTACTCCGATCGGTTTTCGACTTTCGAGTGTAGCCAGTATCATCGGTTTTACGATCGCGATATTTGAGAAATGTAGAAGGATTCACTTGTTACTCGAATGTTCTCTAGGTCGTTCAAGTACGTTGGCTTTCCTGCGCTGCGAAGCTTACGTGATCGTTACGAGAACGCTACAATTTTTCTACGGTGTTATCGTGAAAAATTTAAGTGTAAAGTGCGATAAATGCAGGGTTAATCCGGTTAATACAGATAACATTTGATTTTATCTGCAAATACATTTTTTTAATATTTTATATATATAATATTTGATATGACTGTTACACTTCTTGTTCTTATTAATAACTTTAAAAAAAAAATTTCCTAGTAACTTTAAAAATTACAACTATATACTGTTTTTTTCTCTATTTATTTTTATAATTAACCCTCCGTCGAAATACGAAATTTTTATTCTTCGTCTGCAATCTGGGTCTCCAAACTTCAGTGCAGATTTTTATATTGTTCCGAATTATGTAAAACTCTGAAAAAATTCTTACAGACTTATGAAAACTTTAACTAAAAATTTTTAATATCGTAGAAATTTTGGATTATTTTACTTATTTTTTAATGTGATTTATATTTGTTTATATTTATTCAGAATTTTTACAATTATTAAAAATTGACTATATTTTTAAGGTTCAACTACCGACGAAGAATTAAAATATGTCTACTTCCATATGTAACTTCAATTAGGTCTTTTTGATAAAAGTCATACGATGAAAGAATATTTATACGCAGAATAGCAATATTGTAGCAATTTTAACAATATTACAGAAATATATATTACAAATCATGCGACATAAAATTTTCTAACAATATTGCAAGAACGTTGCAGTAGTTGCAATCTTTAAAATATCCTGTATCAATCGATACCACAGCTCGTTATCGCAACATAAATAAAAATCGTTGAAAAGAATGTCATCTATGATAAGTGTCACGTATCGCGCCGGAGAATCTGTGTGACGTTCTAAATACGTTCAGAGCTTCCCAGGAGAGACTGCAAGAGAAATGAGAGTTTATAGAACATTATATAGATCTGTTCACAATCAATAATACTGTTTAGTTTATTATTATTGAATCAGTAATACTGATAGTACGCATCAATATATTTTACCTTACATGATCGATATTATTGATAATTTCAGGTATTTGTTGGGAAATTTTTCAAAAAAGTGGAAACATTTATATATTGACTAATAATATATATTATATATTACAAACAATTACATATTGACTAATAATATAATAATATTGGTAAAAAAATACTCTTAGAAACATGATCAAATATTTTCAAAATTTTCATTTCACAGTCCTTAAACATGTTACCCTTTTTGAGTGACGATTTTGATAATTTAATTAATTTTGAAATTATAACAAACCCTGAATAATTCATCAAAAATGATATAATTCAAAATCTCACGAATAGTTTATGTTTACCTTGATCAATTAAAATGAATAATTTAAAATAAAATCTTCTTCAAACAACTCCGATTCATAAAAACTGTCTTAATTCCAAATGTTCTCTATAAAAAAAATCTCCCTTTTTTTTTATTTATAAAAACGACATAACTCCTGTGTTGCATTTGTAGAAAGTATTATGATCTCTTTAAATATCTTAAAAAACACAAATACTATTTGGCGGATGGACTTAAATTAAATTAGTTTATTCTTGACAATTGATAGCGCAATCTTTACCTAACTTATTCATGGTAATAACTCCAAAATCCCATCTTTGAGTTAAATCACTTTTGAAATAAAGAAATGATATTATCGACAGTTCCAGATTTCTTGATTCTCAAACATCGCTGTAATACTTAAAAATGAAGAACCAGCAGTGTTCTACATCAATCCATCAATATTAACCAGACACGATCAATAATATTATTAATATTTATTCATGTTGATAGTATTATTGGTTGTGTAAAATATTAACAACTTTCTCCTTGTGTTTTTTTGATACACTCACCATCGTGGAATCGTTCAAAGATGTTAGTATACTCCTGGTGACGAGAACCGTCACACTACTATCACGATCCATTGTATTATCCTCGATCAAATCGTGTTTCCTCCTCAAGATGCGCACCTCGCCGAGGGAATACGAGCACGAGCTCGGCATGTACAGTTCTCCCTCAGAATGAGACGTCTCAGGAGTAGTCCCGACCTGAAACCGAGAATCAAGTTAATTTGCCGATATAATATTTTCTAATCAAGAATTCTTTCTTATTACGAAATGTAAATTATTATCAAACATTGGATTTTATTGCATAATAAAATTCAATTAGAGACAGAATTATGTCATTATATTGTTTCGTAAAGCAATTCGGTTAATGCGATAATGTTTGGTTGCAATACTATATTAATTTATATGTCGTTTACATTAACATAAATAATTTATTGACATTATCATAATGAAAAAGGAGAAAGGGAAAGAATGCCAGAAATTTCATTGTACCTATTTCTTTTATATCTATTTCGATTTAATACACTGAAAGAAAAAATTGGCTGAGTATGGCATAGCATTTTTAATTGATTACAGCAGCTAATCATTTCTTTCAATGTGTTATTACAAAAATTTCTCATTATATATTTTGTACGTTTTTATCTCTTTTTTATTCTAGAATAATTAAAAATTTCTCACTTACTCTTCTCGCGTCTACACTCAACGCGCCATTAGTCGATCTGCGAATCAAATATACAATGAAAAGATTAAATAATTCCACTAAAATATGAATCGTTTATATTTCACCAAACAGTTTTATTATTATATATCTTCATATTTCAAATTAATTCACAATCAATTTTTTTAATATCTAAGTCCCATTTAATTTATGTTAATTAAAGGAATTTCGTTAATAAATTTCAATAAACCAAACTGGCCTAACTTGTATAAAAAAGAATGAAAACTATATAACAATAAATATAATTTAATGAGAATAATCAAAATTTTCAGCTCAGGAAGATTAACAATAACGTATCCTTAGATTCACCTGTCGTCGCGGTCCAGTAACGTACTGCTGACACTAGAATTAGAGCTAGACAAGACATCTATCTTATATTTTCGTGATATGCTTGTCAAATCAATTGACTGCCGCTCGTTATCGCTTATCATGGTTTTCTGAGACTTTGAGATCTCATTTCCGTCTCTGCGGTTTTCAACCACTGCAAACGTCAATTTGCAAGCTTCCTCGTTTCTCATATCTCTTGTTGAATTATCCTTTCCAGCAAAGGAAATTTGCTTGTTATGAGACGCGACTTTCCGCGAAGATGACTCGCTATTTTTTGGCAAAGCACAGTCTCGTGAAGATTCGGCTGAGTAATTCGCAGGGTTCTTTTGTTTAACTATTTCTTGAGGATCAAGAAATATTTTCGCTTCATGTAAAGATCCAGTGTTTTCTTTTGCCAACAAATGTATGAAACCAATGTCTCCTTTCGCCACATCTTCATCAATAAACTTCGATTTGGCAGGGCTTACATCCGAACAAATTCGCCCGTTTTTTGTTTCGAAAACTTCTGCAAATGTGAACAATACTTTTTTGTCTGCCGGCGTAGTACTGTCTTGCTGTCCGTTTGTAATTTCTTTTATAGCTTCTTCTAGAATATTTGAACGCGCTTCAATCACTTGATCGGCTTGCGTGATAATTTCATTTGTACGTTGATTTGTATCAATCTGTACAACTTCCTTCGATTTATCGTCTTCAAACTTTTCGATAATTATATCATCTTTATTTTTAGATACCGAGATTCCGATAACTAAATCGACAGTTTCTATTTCGCTTTCCCCTTTCGATCTTGCAGATGTAATCTTCGTAGACAAATGTTCGGAATTTTCCTCGGGATTTTCATTATCGTCGCTACGGATGTCGGAGATCTGTTTTAACGACTCGGCTTCCGAATACGAGTTTTCATTGCTGTTATTATTCTTGTTATTCTTCGAATTTTTAGTCTCGAAATGAACTGCGGAATGAACACTTTCTCCCAATTCCGGAATTGCGGGAGAGAAATATTTATTAGAATTTTTTGAATCGTTAGATTTCCCAGTAACTTGTCCAATATTCGTATTATTTTCTGTTCGCAAAATTGTCTCCTCATTTGCATTCGACGTAGCGTTCGTCCGAATCAAAGAACCAGTGATGTTCTGAGAAAATGCCTCCTCCTTCTCATTGACATCTTTGTCCGTTTGATTTTTAACATCAATCAAAACAGTTCTCATCACATCCGCGTTTTCTGTCCGACTTATGTCCTTTTTACTATTCACAAAATGTTGCGTAGACTCGCAACGAGCCGTAGAGCGAACGCTCTCTCTTGTCTCGCGACATTCAGATAAGTCGGAGAAGTGCCCGCCGAGACCTTTAAGTTCATAGGATTTTTTGGCAAAATTTTGCTCGATTTCACTCTCATCAATTTTTACTGGCGTCTGTTGCACGCTTTGTTCTCGTGACTCGTCGATTGCATTCGACGGAGCATTGCTACGAGCTAAGGAATCGGAAACGTTTTGAAAGAATAATTTCCTGTCGTTCGCGTTTCCTTGATCGGACTGACTTTTCACGTTAATCAGGATATTTCTCAGAATGTCCAAGGTTTCCGACTGATGCGCGTCGCGGATCGATTCAGCTTCGCGCAAATGATCCAGAAGCTTCTGAACCGCTGCAGGTGTTATCGCCGACTCCTTTAAGGCGCTCACAATCTTTCCTTCGATGCTCCGTTTTTCATCCTGCAGGATGTAAGCAAGAAACTGATCTACCGCTTGGGACATGTCCTTTCGGAAAAACCGCGTGAAAATTCTATCATCGGTGTATTCCTTTCTAGAACGACGGATCTTGTGCTCCGAGAATTTCCTCGCAGACGTGACTTTATCACGATTATCCCGGACGATTTCCTTCTTCTGATGACACAGAGCCTCCGTTTGTGTGCTGGATAACGTTGGTACCAAGTTGGAAAATGACATCCGATCTGTCGTGACATCCGATCTGTCCATCGACGATTCCGATAAATACGCTTTGGTCGCCGACCGTTGAATTCTATCGCTGTCGCGAGATGTCCTGGGGCTGTCATTCGCATCCGATGCAGGAAACAGGCTAGATTCGACGGAGTTCTTCGAGTAATTATTGCGAGAACCATCTTCTTTCATGAAATCCAACGATTTCGTCCCCGCCGTGTTTGCTGCCTGCAGATCGTCGGTTTGAT